ACCTAACGGCAGCTCAGCACAGAATTTTCTGGCACAACTGATCTGCTTTTCAAACTTCAAATTTTCAGCTGGGCTCTTGAAGGGTGTCTGCTTTGGGAGAGCAGATGAAATGCCGTTGTGCGTGGCTCTCCAGGGGTCACGAAACGCCCAGAACTCCAGAGACCTGCAATCCTAGGCAAATCAGATGTCCTACTTCTCAAACAAACAGGCATCTTGGGAGCAAATGCACCAGACTGCAATTACCACAGACACTGCAAAACTACGGCTGCCAATGACAGAGACTGAACCAGGTGAGACAGCGACAGCAATGCTCTTTCTTCTTTCTTACCACTACAATGAATAAAGAAACAAGAGGGAAGAATAACCGTTAACCTAATATAATTTCATTATTAACATTAACATGGACAAAATGCAGGGAGCTCAGAGAATGATAACCTGGCAGAGAAAAACGGAGGGATGCCCAAACAGAGATCAGCCAGGAAGAGTTCACAGAGATAATCTGAAAGACACATAATCAAACAACTACTGAGGCTCAAGGATGTAAACACCAAGAAGGTATGGCATAGTATCAGAACAAGGAAGAAACATAAACTAAAATAAGAAAGAATAATGTTAGCGATAAATCTAAGAGGTACCTTGGGCCAATAAGGCTGAATATAACAAAGGAAACGTCTTCCTACAGGATGCAAGTAACATATATTGGGAACATATTGCAAAGGTTGACACTGCACTGGTCTGCCTGTCAGCTGGACAGTGTAACAGTGACATGCATCCAACAGCGCTCTGAAATACTACTTATGCTATTAAGGGCATTATATCGCTATTACAAAATGCCTTACAACACTCAGCAATGACAATATATAACTTTCTGCACACTTTGTAAACAGCTACCACTCTCTGAGGTCTCTTCTCCAGCCAGGAAGTATTTATCATGAAATCTCCAACCCTCCTCTTGGAGATGTCACAGTTTTACGCCTTTGCTCCTACCAGTTCAGAGCTGTGGAGCCAACAG